TAATAATAATAATAATATAGGAAGGCATATCTGTAGACCCGATACGAATTTTTCTTATCTTATCGGGGGAACGAATATGCTATAGAAATTATGTTATCTTTAACTGCATATCTTTTGTATATGTGCGTTCAAAAATAATAACATAACATAGTATTAATATACAGGGATTGCAGGGCGATTCGTGGTTCACCCTGTATAGTAATCTGTTTGGTAATATAAGCGAAACGTTCTCCTTTTTTTCAGTGAGACAAATCCAAACTGGGCAAAGGAAATTCGCGATGATGTCATAGAGGAATGTAACAAACACGGTGGTGTGTTACACGTGTACGTGGATCAGGCATCTCCTCAGGGTAATGTTTACGTTAAGTGTCCATCGATAGCAACCGCAGTGGCCGCTGTTAATTCTCTGCATGGCAGATGGTTCGCCGGTCGAGTTATAACAGCTGCTTATGTGCCGGTTGTAAATTATCATTCGCTGTTCCCAGACGCGATGACCGCTTTGCAATTATTAGTACCAAGCGCGCCACGGAGAGGAATGTGATCTTAAATAAGTGCAAACGCGGAATAATAACAATGTATAAATTCTTATAATAGTATTACGTTCTGTCTTACGGAATCTGCAAGTAAATGTTTGTTCATCATTATACTACAAATGATTTGAATTACTACGGTCCTTCAGTTGCTGATATCCGTGTGGCAACATAAAATATCCATGGGTTCAGGAGAATAAACATTTGCTTCGTCACTTTTTGTTTCATCAAAGCGATAATGCAAGTCATTCATTAACAAATTTATATCTTGTAAATTTTTGAACGATAGTTATTCGACATTAGTGATTCCGACCAATTAGTACATGACGATCTACGACGAATCGCCGTCAACACATTTGAAGTTTTTGTAGAATATTTACGTGCATACACGTATCGAATTATACTTTGACATATTCGTTATGACACAAGGTATTGAACAACTTCGTTGCCTTATTTGTTAGATGTACTTTGTAACATTTTCTATTTAATAATTCATTATCTGTTATAATCTGTAATATTGAAGTAAAAGCAAATTTAAAATGGACCGCGAAGAAAGATATGATTCTCATACAAACATGTACTGAAGGTGGTAATATAAAGAAGAAAATGTAGAATTTCTGTTGTCAAAGTTTTGTGTTCATTAAAAAGTATACATTGAGAAGGATGTTCCTTCTTTTAAGAAACCAGATGAATATATTCTATAGCCGGGTAAATAGCGAAATTATTCAACAAGGAGAGGTCTGCAGGTAATGAATATTTTTAACACATTTACTTCGTTAAAAATAATACTTTATATGCTTAGAGGAATAAAATTTTCATAAGACTAATGTTTAAGGCACTAATGCAATAGGTTTCTATACTTTTAGTTAATAATATACACCCTAATGGCCTCTTCAAGTTAGAGTGATCATAATAGTTTTCAATATTTAAAACTTAAGAAAATAGATCGCCCACACGAGCNTATAAAATGTGAACAATATTTCACCAACAATTTATTGGTTTACACGATACGCGATATTCAACTGTAGTGTACCACAAGATCTTCATTTTTTATTTTGAAATATAAACCAATATAAACGCCATTTGTTAATCGTTTGCTGTAGTTATCTAATTTAGATTACAAGTACTATTTTGAGAAAAGTAGTAATATTATTATTCATAAAAGCACACTTGACTTCGAGGAGTGAAAGAATAATTTTACGTGTTCTTCGATAATTACGCGCGTGATTAAATTAATGATATACTTTAAATGAATACTATATTCCTTGAAAAAGTTAAAGCACGGTGATGATTAATGAATAGCCGTGTTTGGTCGTGTTTGATGGACAAGTATAAAGACGTATTGATATGGACATGTCGTTCGTACAGACAATTATTATTATTTTGTTAGCTTGATTCAGTAATAAATAGAAATATCAACAGGCATTAATGTAATATAATATAAAAACATATAATTATTAGCGATCGGTAGTAATTCGATAAGGCTAGTTACCGGTGTCGATTCAATCTTGTATTGATACCATCGTACTTGGCATCGCATTGACATCGTCATATAAAGTCAATAGAATTTAAAAGGGACCGTCCGCTTAGGCAGTTGTGCCTAATAACATTTTCATTTTCACGTAAATATGGCACTAAAACACGTAGTTATAGGCAAGTTTATCTTGACGTTTAAGAAGTGTCTAATTTTTTTTCGAAATAATATATGGATGAGGTTATGTACTTGTCCCAGGTGGTGGTACAGGTTTTGTTGGAACACAAATAATAAATTCATTGTCACGTAAAGGTGTTTCCTTTACGTGTATTTCTCGTATGCCTGGGCCTGGACGAATGTCATGGGTAAGAAATTGTTTAAATATAACTGTACCTTAAGTACTTAATAATATGAGAATATAACATGGGATCTATAGCATGATTTGGAATGTTATGGTTTACCTGATAATACAACTGCTGTGATTAATGTTGCTGGACAAAATATACTTGATCCGAAACAACGGTGGTCAGAGGGATTTAAACAAAATGTTATAAATAGTCGGGTGAAAACAACACAATCCTTAGCCAAAGCAATAATAAATACCAAAGCCAAGGCGTTTGTAACCATTTCTGGAGTAGCTTATTATAAACCAAATGATACAGAATACACTGAAGAAAGCAAATGTGAGAAATATGATTTCCTATCCGGTAAACTTTCTCTCAATTACTTGAGGCTTGCATGTGTAGGGGCATAGATAATTTATGTACATGTTAGAAATTACTATAATATACTTGTTCTGCACATTAGAACTTTGTCATAGATGGGAAGCAGCTGCGCAACTCCCAAAAGATAGCGATATCAGACAGACTACAATTAGGTCAGGAGTTGTTTTAGGGAGAGACGGTGGTATGATTAAGCAAATATATTTACCATTCTTTTTTGGGTTGGGAGGTCCTATCGGCAATGGGAAGCAATATATGCCATGGATTCATGTAACAGATTTAGTTAACATGTTTATTTTCTCAATTAAAAATGAGAATGTGCATGGTATATTAAATGGTGTTGCTCCTCAGGTAATTAATTGAAGTAGGAACTAAAATATGACAATAGGTGTAAGTTAGCCCAAGTATAATTGATAGAAAATTATTGACAGATTGTGACAAACGGTGAATTTACTAAGGCATTTGCGTCTGTAATGCAAAGACCTGCACTTATTCCTGTACCACCGATTATTCTGAATAGTCTTTTCAATAAAGAACGTGCAAAAGTTAGTACAAAGAGTGTTTGTCGTCTGTTTTTCTTTTATCATGTATCTTGTAATTTGTAATTATTATGATAATCTTCATTCCAGATTATGCTGGAAGGACAAAAAGTTATACCCAAACGTGTCAAAGACTTGAGATTTGAATATCAGTATCCTGATATTAATACTGCTTGTGCTGAACTTGTTAACAAAAACACCTAATTCTGAAACATAATTATAGTTAATTAATATTAATATAGTAATATGTACATATGTACGAGATTAAAACTGATTATCCATGTACACGACCGAGGTGCTTTGCAGTTTCTTCACTATTTAATTTCCTTCTATTCGTAATGTTGGATACTCCAACAACTCAAACGACTCAAACGTGTTTTCGGACAAAGAATCAAGTAACGGTCACCGAGGACCCCCCACCTTTCTGTGTATCTCTTGAACAAGGGTTTCCACCCCCATGTTTTAGGTTTAGACGGGGACTCTGTCTTAGGCTGTTGTAGCGTTAACATCGAACTTGACTGTATCTCTGAGCGTTCTGAATAAACCATATGTATTTTACACATACTTGAGTCGACCTTATTCGCGGGAACATAACAATAACAATTATCAAAAAAGGAAATTAATATTTTGGCATACCTTTCGCCAGAAAGTCAATTGCCATCAAGGTAAAGAATCGTTCATTTGCATATATAAACACGCATTATTGGTGACATAGGTAAATATAAATATTTACATGTATACATACATACGGATAACTTTGGTGTGAGTAAAACTGAAAGAAATGTAAAATGGCGCAGCTTTGCTAGGACAGCTGTTATTTACCAACTAAAGGGAATAGTAGTCGTATTTGATTTGAATTAAAACAAGCCTCTGGAATTGTGTGCGTACATAATTTCGTGAAAAATTTTGAAAATATGTGGTATCTAGAACCGAACAAAAGAAAAAGATACGTTATATCAATAACAAAGTTTTAACGAGAAAACAGTTTAGATGCATATACACAAAGATGGTAGTAGTGGTACGATGATACTGGAAATGGTTGTGCGAGAGAAGAGAGCGTTAAGGAATACAGCTCGGACAATTTCTTTACAGAAATATTAGTTTTATTCGTCACAATATGTGACTATTATCAACGATCATGTCGTTGAATTAAATTAGTTATATTTAACGGGACGCCAGAAGCGACACGAACAAGAAGAGACGAAAAATTGAGACATAACCAGTTCAGTCGTAAAGTGAGAGGAAGAGAGAAGTAAGTTAAAGTTGCGCCCACAAATTCAAGCAACTCTTATTTCTCAAATGTATAACATATTTCGAAACGTTAATACAAAAGTAACGTCAAAGTAATCAAAGAAGCGATAAAATTGTCAATTCACATTGGATTGTTATTGAATCGTATTCATGTTGGATATTCCGTATTTAAAATTTTCGAAGACTCGAAGGACTTATTTCTATGACTTTACTCAAAGGTTATTTAACTGTATTTTCGAAATACTGTACAATTTTTCGCAACTAAAAGATGACCAGAAATCGTCCAGTATCCCAGCAAGTCACCAGTGATAATCATCGTTTCTACTACTGCTTTCACGAGGTTAGAATTCATCGACGCAATTACATTTTCTTTGTTTTTATCCGTACAACTTTTTTTTTTACTGATTATTAAAAAAATTGACAATATCAATGAGTATACAATAATTTTATTTCACACTGACCTAAGTTGGATCAAATCCAACATAGATATTTTATACAGAGATTTCGTTTCTGTTTGATAAACATCATATCATGGCAACGATTATCATGATGTTATGAATATAATGCAAACATGAAATTTCTTATAACGTGATCACATATAAGCAGGACATATCACTTTCATTTTATATAATTTAGTTGCTTTGTACAATTCTGTTGAAACATTCAATGTTTCATTTTCAGTTATTAACAGATTGGTATTAAACTTTTGTTGAATAGGAGTCACCATGAATGCCAGAACTCAATTATTTGAGTTAAGTATGGAAGGCAGACAAGTGGACGAAGCAGTAGCAAGTATCTTCCACAGTGTTTTATTTCATCGAAGTCTTGGTAAATTTAAATATAAACAAGAAGGTAGCTATTCAGTGGGTACTGTGGGATACCAGGACGTCGATTGTGATTTTATTGATTTCACTTATGTCTGTTGTTCATCTGTGCACTTGGATCAAACATTGAAACGTGAAATATCAGGCTTTTCTGAGGCTCTACGTTCCACTGATAGCCCAGGTTCTGGCCAAATATCCTTGGAATTCTTTCAGAAGAAAAAAAATCGTTGGCCGTTTCAACCAGAATGCATACCGTGGGAAGTGTGGACGGTACGCTTAGAACTTATCAAATTAGCTACAGAACATGAGAGACAAATATGTAGAGAAAAAGTCGGAGATTTATTAACAGATAAGATTCTGTACATAACAGAAGTAATGAATCGACACGACTACCTTCCTAAAATGCCAAATCAAGCTGAACTAGATTTGATCTTCGATACGTCGTATCCCGACATACAACCTTATTTGTTCAAATTATCTTTTACGACATCCAGTCCATCGAGCACGACAATGGGCAACACCATGAAAAAATTGATCAAAGAGACGCTATCCATTTAGTTGTTTATAACGCGGGGATTTTATAGTGCAACGCGTGTTTAATCCAAACTCGATTTTGGATCAAATTAATACTACGAATTTCTGTATGGAATATTATCATATTATTTTAGTTCGTTTTGTTCGTAGTCTATAAATATTCGAAGCGCTCTATGTTTTTATATGTGTTGATTCGCAAAAAGGACTTGAAGTCTACGAGGATGAACAGGATCAATGGTATGCAATATTTGTGAAATAAGACAAGAAGTTATATTCCGTGTATATGTTAAAACCGCCGTTTCTGACCAATGTCTACGCAAAATTCTGTGCCGACAATACTTGTCAGAAGGAAAGAAAAAAAAAAAAATACAGGCTTATATATATGTTAAAATTGAATAGACCTGAAATATTTGTAAAATTTCTATAGTACAAAGGAACCAATTGTGTATAAACGTTACTCTTTTGTGTACTATATCTACTATTCGAGATAATATCGTCCATCGCATAAGTCTTCTAGGTAATCAGTTATACATTAAATATTTCTTTATATTTGTCCATTTCGAGTTAATTCACATTTTGAGCATTGTCAATAACAATATAAGATAATATATCCCGTTGTCGATAAAGGCAGACAGAGATACACACACACACACACACACACACACACACACACACACACACACACACACATGTAAATATGTGTATGTATATACAAAGAAATTCTTTGTTTCTCTAAAACTTTTTTATCTATAACAACAGAGATGTATAGTAATTGTAAGTGAATAGAGTAATGTAATGCGTTTATTTAAGTAAGCAAAATTAAAAAATGAATAAATTTATCTTAATGCCAGAAGGAGTTATCTACTTTTTGTTTTGAGAAAAATAATAATTGAATGCTTGCCTAAAATGTTTAATATATGGCTGGAACCTAGACTTATTATTGTAAATAAACGTGTAATAAAAATGCGTGTTTTCATGTTTTTATTTACATATGAACACGCAGTACGTGTTGTCTGTACACGCATATAATATATGTTTGTTTATAAACATATATTATATATATATATTATGTAAATTTATATGCGATTGAAAAATGATCTTTGAATGTGTTTTTGACTGTTTTCTTTTTTAGAGAAAGCAATTAATGATAAATTTGATGATTAAGTATTTGGTGAATGTGGACGTGAATGTGGTGTAGCGATAATAATTTATTGTACATATATAAATATATATATGAGAGGTAATTTTAAAGAATTTTAAAAGTGATTTATAGAAAAATATATTTAGATAATTAAGAGACTATTGTTCGGAAATTAAAATTGTTGCTTAAGGAGAGTATCATTTGTAGAAGATAGGAACAACAGGTTGATTGCGGGAGACTTTATTAGTTAAAGTAATGTGTTACGGCAAATATGAAATAACTACTGATTATTTGATCAATTGCCGATATGTCGCTGTAGTCGTCAACAAGGTACTTACAAGCCGCGGGTAGAAAGACGAGGATACAGATGGTATGCGGACGCCTGCGCAAGAAAACGGCGGCTTGTCTAGTTAGGTTTTGCCAACAATTTTCCATTTTCAGTTATCGATGGAAAAGGCCGCCCGTCGCTTCGAAAGCGGTTCATTGTTGAAAATCGTGTGTATGCGTCAAGCGTCGCAGTGTTCGCGTTCTCTTTACTTCTGAAACGAAATTTAATAATAAGTAGCGTGCAACTGCCTTTCATTCTTATAAATACAACGAATTTGAAGAAAACTCGCTAGACTTTTTTTCTTCTCAAAATAGCGACGAGAAAAAATTAATCCGCAAGATTTGTTAGATGTGCTCTTAGTTTTCGATTGAATTTTCTGGTGACTGTCCGTCGTCGAGAAAATTTTTCCGATCTTTTTCGATTACAATTCATTTCGGTTACACCGTACAACTATTACAACTTGTAATTATCAACCACTGATCGTTCAACTGTGATCTTTCGCCTCCTCTCGTCCAATAGCAATTTATAATTTTTTCTATGCTGTGAGATAGACTAACAAAATCGAACATACAAGTGAGGATTAACGCTCCAGATCGTCAACAGGTGGTCCGAAAGAATATTTCAACGAACATACACAAGTAGTTGATGTTGTAACGGAACGGTTGTTAAAAAACTTAATAACTTAATGCTTGTCGCTCATCCTCGTACGGAAATTCTGTACTCTACACTGATATCGTTAGCTCTGCGAAGCGTTTTGAGAAAATGTACAAAGCTGGTTGAAATAAAATTGCCAATCAACTGGACGAGTAACTGTAAATGATTTCGAGTATTCGAAAAAAGAGAAAAGGAGAAGTGTGCGCGGCCGGAGCACGAGATGAGAAAGTGTTGGTTCGTTCGTTTGGTAGTGAAACGATTTTGAAAAATTGCTTTGTCAACTGGAAGTTTCGAGCGAAAAAAGTTTTATGTGGCTGGCTACGATCGAAGGACGATCACGCAATACCGTTCTATTTTCGGGAAATGTTTTTCACTCGGCAACCTCGAGGAACACCAGATTTCACTATTTTTAAGATAGTTGATTCGATTTGATCGAACCGGAAGTGAGAAGTTGCAAGTTCTCTTATTCGAGAGTCGAGCCGCGTGTGACATCGCCAGGACGGTTTTTGTTACAGCATATCATATCTCGTGCGAGATACATTTCCTCTGTTTATGTTTACTCAAAAACAGATACGTGTTCTGCAGGAATTAGTCCAGTGCCAGAATTGTAGCTATTGTTACAGACGGAACGATTTGTTTTTAAAACAATAAAGGAAAGACTTTGATCATCCTTGACAAGTCGATTAATCACTTCATCCGCAGTTAATTCTGTTCTATTTGTTGCTACAAGATTTGCATTCGCTTTAAGTGCATTTACGATAATGGAATAGAGATGTTTTTAGTTCCGAGCTAAAGTAACTGTTGGTCGATTGGAGAGGAAAAACGTTTTAAAAGAAGTAGCGGAAAGAAAGCTATTGGAAAAGAAAATCCGATTAAAGTAAAGAGGAAAATATCGAGAAATGGATAATGCCACAATTCCATCGGATTATAATAGGAGCGTAAACGTCTGGTCGAATAACAGCAATATTACTGGCAACCGTCTGTCCATAGAAATGGATGTAATCTCGAACGGTGTAATACAATTGATTTTTTATATATTTTATGGGAATATTTTCGCATTGGGCGTGTTCGGTAACGTGTTGGTGTGCTTCGTGGTAGCACGGAATCCTCGGATGCAAACGGTAACGAATCTGTTTATCACGAATCTGGCATTGAGCGATGTGCTACTCTGCGTCCTGGCAGTGCCGTTCACCCCTTTGTACACGTTCCTCGGTGGTTGGATATTTGGTAGAACCCTCTGCCATTTAGTGCCGTACGCTCAGGGTGTCAGCGTGTACATCAGCACGTTGACATTGACAAGCATTGCGATCGACAGATTCATGGTGATCATATACCCGTTCCATCCGCGGATGAAAATTGAAGTTTGTCTGGGCGTAATCGTTGGTATCTGGATAGTCGCACTGCTGGTCACTTTGCCTTACGGGCTTTACATGCATCTGGAGGAGCCGTATACTTATTGCGAAGAACATTGGCCGAACGAGCGATTGCGCAAAATTTTCAGCTCCGTGACAACAGTATTGCAGTTCGTCGTACCCTTCTTTGTGATCGCCTTTTGCTACACCTGCGTCTCGGTCAGGTTGAACGATCGGGCTAGAGCGAAGCCGGGTAGCAAAACTAGCAGAAGGGAGGAGGCTGATAGAGAAAGAAAGAAACGAACGAATCGTATGCTGATCGCTATGGTCACCGTGTTCGGGATATCTTGGCTACCGTTGAACATCGTTAACGTTATCGACGATTTTTACTCGCCGGCGAACGATTGGTCCTACTACAGGCTCTGCTTCTTCATGACGCACTGTCTCGCTATGAGCAGCACTTGCTACAATACCTTCCTTTACGCTTGGCTCAACGATAACTTCCGGAAAGAATTTAAACAAGTACGAACTTACTTCTTGCTAAGCTCTTTTCACGTAACACGTATAGAAAACACTTTTAGCTCAACCTTCTTTTTCATTCTTTGTTCGCGGGAAACAGAACAGATGTTGCAAAACATTTTATTTTAAACATTTCTCGAAGATACATTTACTTAATCTCCTTAGTACACGAAATAATTACTATGGGAACGTTCGTTAGAAATCATATTTTATATTCTCTAAATAAATATATGATGTGCAGTATTTTTTTAATATCTTTATACGAACCCGATTAAAAGTGTACTACGTGTGCCTGTGCATACTTATTATTCGTGAAAAACTTGCCGCATTTCGTTATCATAGACGAAAAGTTCTCAAGGCAAAGTTTTGTCATTTCCATCGCAATGCATAAGTTTGATCGAACCTTCCTTACGTTTTAGTACACGGCTGACACCTCAAGCATAGTGTGTCATGTCATTTTAAGTCTTTAATCGAAATCTTAGCGTCACGTCTAGTCGATGCAAGCATATTGGTATGGTCCGAAAATTCAGTTGCGATTTAATGAAGTTGTATGCTGCGAAAGCAAGCAGTTTCGATCTTCGAACTTGGTTCGAGATTATACAGTGTTAATCGGAAATTTATTTTTCTTTATTATAATACATCTGAAAGATTTCACCGCGTGCGCGTTTATCCAACCAGTCAATTTAAATGGTATACAACCTTGGATGCAGTTAAGTTTATTGCTACCCTGCTGAGAGCTTAAACTTATGATCATACTGTATTTCCTGTCGATTTATACGGTTCGATTAAACATCCGTAACGTTTCCCCATCCTAAGATCACTGAAATTTCGCTCAAGGCTAACTTATACTCGCATACGAATCTTTAATTTCAACTTTGAATCCCTTGAATTCTTTTGAAGGTGCTTCCATGTTTCTCGAAATTAACCGACGGACAAGTTCCCAGAACGACCCAAGAAGGACTTAAAAATAATAAAGAGTGTAACGGAAATAACACTCTCCAGGAATCCTTGATACCGAACGAAATCCGAGCAAGAAACTCGAATCCAGAAGGCTGCGAATTGATAGTCTTCGACGCGACCATAAGCAACGCGTCCAAGGATTTAGAGGAAACAGAAGCTCCACGTTCTCACGAATCTGATTATGAGTCACGAATCGATTAATGTGAGTATGCAAAATAGTTAATACATATTAGCACATATATACTTCTTAAAATATATGCGTGTGTATGTGCATATGTATATACNACCAGTCAATTTAAATGGTATACAACCTTGGATGCAGTTAAGTTTATTGCTACCCTGCTGAGAGCTTAAACTTATGATCATACTGTATTTCCTGTCGATTTATACGGTTCGATTAAACATCCGTAACGTTTCCCCATCCTAAGATCACTGAAATTTCGCTCAAGGCTAACTTATACTCGCATACGAATCTTTAATTTCAACTTTGAATCCCTTGAATTCTTTTGAAGGTGCTTCCATGTTTCTCGAAATTAACCGACGGACAAGTTCCCAGAACGACCCAAGAAGGACTTAAAAATAATAAAGAGTGTAACGGAAATAACACTCTCCAGGAATCCTTGATACCGAACGAAATCCGAGCAAGAAACTCGAATCCAGAAGGCTGCGAATTGATAGTCTTCGACGCGACCATAAGCAACGCGTCCAAGGATTTAGAGGAAACAGAAGCTCCACGTTCTCACGAATCTGATTATGAGTCACGAATCGATTAATGTGAGTATGCAAAATAGTTAATACATATTAGCACATATATACTTCTTAAAATATATGCGTGTGTATGTGCATATGTATATACTGAACAAATTATATTCTACCAAGTTGCTGCTGTTCTCGAAAAATTACGAAATTTTTATTTGTTTAATTCAATATCTATATGCACATATTTACGCTGTAGGATTAAAGTTAGCACAAGAATTAAGTACCTATGGTACTACTCTCCTTTTCGGCAAACGGAGGCTTCTTATCGATTAAACTGGTGTACATAGGATGCTATCCCTCCTCGAAACCGATTACATTATCTGTTATAGTTGTTGGGGTTTAGGTTGATAGCATGGGTGAACTCAGACTACGTTATTTCTAGTAAATCGCTAATCCAATTTAATTCTAACGATGTATAAGCTTAATGTACCAAATTCCGTTCAGGATTAATGAAGTAAAACGCGCGTAACCAAGCGATAGTTACTGCTTCAAGCTATGAGCGATCCATACGATGGAAATTTTCAGAAGAAAATAAAAAGACATTTCTTCTTAAAAGTATGAACAAAAATTAACACGATAATATATCGAAACATAAGAAATGATAATGCAAAGAATTTTGTTCATTAGTTAATTAGAAAGCACAGAGATCAGTTCGTTCAGTTTCGAAATCGATTTCATGTTAAACGTTCATTAATATCTAAATAAGTAAATGCTCATTCCAATCTCGCTCGAGAAAAAGAATCGATCAACTATATGAACTTACGAACGAGATTTTTTATTTTTGTACCATGTAATATTATTTGCATATTGTTTTTTAATTCAAGTTGTTACAAATTGAACATAAAAAGAAGCGGAGAGTAAAGGAGATTGAAATGAGAAACATGATTTAATAGAAACTGTCATTCAAAAATGAAACGCACCTTCCTGCAGAATTGCGAAACGCTTTTTCCTTTAAACGGACAGCTTATGAAAGTTGTTCTAGGCAGACAGGCAGTCATACGATCTTTCTCCTTTCGTGTATACATTTTCCATATACATATTTCAACACAAAATAGTATACTGGCTAAACAAGATTATTTTGTTCGTTATTGAATCATAAAAATCATTTCATTAAATGTACAAAAATATTAGAAAAAAATGTGTAAAGTGATCAATGTGAGGAAGTAAAATTCTATTTTGTAATCTGATATCGGATAATAACAGTTTAAATTACATGCGTATTACGTATATGTCCTAATTTAACAATCTGTTTGAATCGAATAAATTTTTTCAAATCGATTTGAAATCAATGGGAAATTATCCGGTTTGATCAATAGAAATATAAAACTATAAGATGTAGTTGAGGCCTGGAATTTGTTACGGCCCAGAATCAAACGAAAATGGAAATTGAATTGAAAGGAGAGGAGCATACAACACACGACCTAACGGAGACAGTGTGCAGGGAATAAATCGAAGATGCTGCTATAGTTGGAAACGTATTCGGTTGTTCGTATGGTACGCACGCTTGCCGTGATAAACATTTTCAATAGGTTGCCATGTTACTTCCGCTTCGGGATCGAGGACAGCCGTTCTTTGCCCGTTATCATCACTTGCACTTTACTATTAGTGCCCCCATGTTTTCATTTTGCTATCCTGAATCTCCTATCCTCTTTACTTACTACTTTCACTGTCTCTGTGTTTAGATTCCAAGCGATCTTTTAAATAAAGTTTATATCGTACATTAACTTTTCGTATAATTCTGTCAACATATTATCTTTTCGCTCTTATATACATTACAGGTTTTACTAAATACTTTGATCGTGAACGAGATCAAACGAAATTAACGAATAAGTATATATATATTAAGTTGGCAACTAAGTTCCCGCCGTTTTTCTAAATTTTAACATTCCGCATGTCATTAAATGTTTTCGACATAATGTTTTAAGTCATTCGAACGAGGATGTTTTGTTCTACCGGAGTCTATCTTTTGTTTTTGTTCGAATTAATTTATGTTAATTTTTAGATCATTGAAATGGAATGTCGAGTTTAGAAAAATGAACATTTTCGACACTTGGTTCTTTTTGCTTTTAATCAATCTTAATAATCAAGGCCGCAAAAGCTGCTCGCGACATTTGTGTCGTATATGGAGAGGGTGCCATAACTGAAAGAACCGCTCCTAATTAGTATGCAAAGTTCAAAAAGGAATGCAGAGTTTGGTTCAATGCCAATGCAGAATTGAGAGCTTGATTGAATGAATTTTTCGAGTCATAACCAGGTGATTTCTACCAACGAGGTATTGAAAATCTTGTTGAACGTTGGGAAGAAGTTGTAAACAATAAGGGAGAACGCATTATTAATTAATTAGATTTTCATTTTCATTGAAAAATAAACTTTTAACAAATTTAAAATAACGGCGGCAACTTAGTTGCCAATAGATATGTACTTAATAGTCTATTATGAATCTCCTACGTCTCTAATTTAAGTAATAAAAATAAATAAAATCTGAATCGATGAAAATTAAAAGTGTAATAGAAATCGTAACTGTTGCAGCGGTACACTAGAAGATGAGGAGAGGCTTAAAATAATTGGCTATAGATGTACAAAAAGAAGATGTATTGTTGTATATGTGTTATAAAAATAACTGTTTCCTCTACGAGGCTGAAGACTTCTACAACGAGTACAGATGATTCGTATCAATTACTGTACAAATAAAGCGAGCAGCGGTGGGGACGACGACAAATTATGAAAAAAAGCATATGTATAATTAAATTTCGAGTTAAGAATTGGTCAGTTGGAATTTGTTATAAACAATGTTATGTCAAAAAAATAAAGAAATAAAAAGAGGAATTTGCTCAATTTCATCGACATTTTGCTCCTTTCCTGTTTATTACATGTTTGTTTGCATAATTCACCTATGCTTTCAAATATAACACAAGCATGCTATGAAACTTTATTCAATCATAATTTATAGATAAAGGAACGCGTGCAACACAAGGGCCCGAGGGGTAGGTACACTGATAAAAAGCTGATAACGGCCTCGTTTCGATCGACCATTCTCGAGAACGCGCGCGTGTTCTCCCCTTTCGCTTGTCTCCGATTTCAATTCCGCAATAACTCCTCATTATCGTAGGAAATGATTGCGGTAATCCGAGCACACTTCCTGAGAAACGATTCTTGTCAGGGTATATCTATTAGGTATATGATTCATGTATTTCACGCCTATTTACTATTTACCACGCACATCTATTACGGACATTGGCTTACTGTTGTATGTACATACATACATACATACATACATACATGCGTGCATAATGCACGTCATTTGCATGTATATTTATATACTTACATACGCTGATTAATTTAATCAGCATGTATAGTTTACAGAAAGTCACAATTTTTGTAAATGCATATTTAAAACTTGGCATGCTGTGACTTTTTGCCTGACTTTGTAGATGTTCAAAATTCACCTACACAACTCGAGCTCGAGTAGATATAATAAATCAGTTTATAAAGATGTTACCAGGGGAAAATATATAATAATAGCCGACTCTAAAAACATTTAGGTACTTTTATTAACATTTTTACAATTTTTTCAATAGTTATATTATGATCTGTGCCTCGCATGTATTTTATACAAAGGTATAACACGTAAAGTAGACAGCAATGAATGCTTTATGTTAAGTGTATCAGACGTACTTTCGTTTGGCAAATTTTAATTTTTCTTTTCGTTTCCTGCCTTTTACTCGTTTACGTACATACAATACTCATTACCTACGTGTATAAGTATGTGTAGTGTACGTTTACGTCATGCGCAGATTTAAATACATCGTGTATGTATGCTGTACACACATATACATATTCATTCTTATATTTAAAAGTGTTCGATTATGATTATTTTAATAATTAAATGAAATAAATATTCTTGTACTGAATCAATGTTTACCAATTAAGAGGGCAATATCAAACAAAAACAAATTCGAATAAATAAAGAATACGACTTGGATTAAAATTTCATCATGATAAACTGTAACAAATTGGAATTAACGTTTTAAAATGTTCATTAAAGTCGTCCACGAACGAACCGACTGTTAAAATGTCATCGTTCCAAACACAATTCACTGTTCTTTACAGTTATTATGTTAGATCCTGTACTTAAATAGTATGTAAGAAGCTCGAAGAAGTACAGATTATGTTCAAAACCTTTGACCCTCCATTTCTTACTTTACCACTTCTTCCTTACTTTCACGTTCTTAAACTGTAGTCGTATTCTATCCCAACAGACATTAATATCAAAGAGAATCAACAATCCATTGCAACAATTAATATCATTGACGGCAAATAAATTTACGAGTTCTGTCGTGTTCACGTATAAGTGGTATTATATGACCTTACGACTCAATGAAATGTATTACAATAAGAAAATTAATACAACATAATATTTTCTTCCTCTGAGTAAAAAATCGCTTGTGCGCGTACAACAAACGGTAACCTCTTTGATATTAACGGCGTACATTCATTTCAGAATGCTCCCGCACATTGATATTATATCTCTTCAACATGATACAGTTAATTAGATCTTAATTGGATCCAGAATTTATCGTGAGATGTAAACACAGAGATCAATTTCATCTGAGCCATAATTTTAATCGAAGTGCATCTACACCATTTAAATAATAACGAAATAATCGTTTATCACGCACAAAGCCAAGATTTTCATACAAACGTAACGCTGGTTGATTGGTAATCTCTGTTTCCAAAACAATTTCATCCGCGTTATCTTCTACCATAGCTTGAATCGCTCTTCTTACCAAGTTTGATCCGATTTTTCGCTTTCGATATTTCACATCAACCGCCAACATTGCGATGTAGCCACGTTTAATCACCTTCCTGTGGGTATCCAGTTTGCAGACAATGGCACCGACGCATTCCTCACCATGCATCGCCTTGACGAACAAAAAGCAAGAGTTTTCTATAAATTCTACACCTGCAAGAAAAGGCATCCAACCAAAGCTGCTAACAGTTCTCTTCACTTTACCAATTTTTGTTTTGTTTTTTTCTTTTTACACAATACATTCTATAGTCACATTGAATATTGTTATTACTATCTTTGAGTCGCAGAAATATGCACGATACGAGATGAATATTTTTACCAGTACTATTTGAATACAATCTGTAGACATACATACCAAGAAACACAATTTTGGCCAGTTATAGATAAAATATCTGTAGGTATAAATAGAATACGGTTCGCTTAGGTCCTTTTGGATTAATTTCATAATGTCAGGCATTTGTAGCTCACTTGTGTAACTGACATATTGGATGTTATCCTTAGTTTCTAACGATAATTTCTCCAATGATAATGATGTACCTAAACATATAGATAGAAAATAAAATATAGACAAAATGATATCCAACTTGAATGTATAAATGTATAGAATAATTACAAGTTTAACTTCTGAGATTATGAAGAATGCAAAGTTGTAGGTTATATTGAAATATGTGAAAATATGAGTGAAACTTGAGAAAAGTGGTAGAATAAATTTAGCGTGCAAAAAATGATACATCATAGTTTTAAATATATTCATAATAATTGTTTTAGCCTATATACACATAAGTGTTATTAATAACTGTACCATGCTGATTTAAATGACTAGCTTCTGTAGCTTCTGATTGTGAAAGATCATCCGTAGCAGTAATTCTTTCAGGGGAACTACAAACACCATTTACTCGAGATAATCCATTTGTCTGAGATTCACCATATATTTCAGGTGTTTTCAGATTAAATCGAGATTTAATATCCAAAGTATTAGCAGCGATGTCTGTTAACGAGTTTTCGTTCTTTTCGTCTATACTACTTTGTTCGGCCTCCGATTCGTTTCCATCTGTAACACTATCAATTTTCACTTCTTCCATAGTTTCTCACTTGTCTCCCGTTAATTTTTGTATTTTGGAAATATCCAAATTTCGTTCTTCTAATATATAATAAATTGGAGTAGAGGATTTCGAAAATGTTAGTCTTTATGTAATACACACAGAAGTGGCATTAGAGCATCTAAATGTCGCACCGATTTTTCAATCGAATTTTCATAATTATAACAAATTAAACTATTTGTTGCTAATATAATTTTCGTTTAAAGTACGAAACTCTCTGACGTACACCAGTGAGCGATAGACACCATTGGACACCATATTGAATTTTCTGCGATAATGACTGTTAGAACATAAACAATAAATAATAGTTATCATCGTCGCAGTCCGATTTCCACCTTATTGCTCATGAAATCACAATTCAGTTCTATACAACTATTATTTTTAGATAAGTAATTGCGTTTTAGACAAGTAAGGGCGATAAAAGAAAGTAAATTATTAATGAACGTCATATGTACCTTTACGTTCAAATGTTCTGTTCTTTTGCTACAAGATGGCACTTTTCGGAAAGTACCGGAAGTACAGTTTTAACAGAGAATTCACTCATCTCTGATTCTAACGCCGAAAACGATCTATGGTTTAAGTTCTTTTCCGATTGTGACACGATGGGTGAGTCTTCTCATTTCTCGAACGTTATACTTTTATCGTTTTCAATCAATATTTTTGGCTTAACAATCATCTTTGAATAATTATCAGTAACTTCGTAATGCTTCTGTTTCTTATATTCACTGTATATTTGTTTTACATGTCCTTTTTAAGGACTTTAAAATTTACCATGTAACCATGGTTCCAGCGTTTCCATTACTTTAACTTCTTGTTCTTTATTGTCGGCTTCGTTCTAAATAGATTGCAGATTTTTCATATATACAACGCTTATTGTTTCGTTTGAAGTATTTAATATTTACGTTGTATATGATACAATGTTAAACTGCTACATTTCCTCTTTTATATAAAAACATTGGTAGTGGGCGTTGAATAAACAAATTTCGGTGTGAATCCATTTATATACTATTCCAGGTATTTCACGTGACCATTGGCACAAGAGGCGAGCAACTGGAGGTAAACGCAAACCCCTCCGTAAGAAGAGGAAGTTTGAGTTAGGACGTCCGGCTGCAAACACAAAGCTTGGAGCCCGTCGCGTTCACACGGTATATAATTTCTGTTTATAAAGTTTAGAAAACTACATATTTATCTGTTATTACATACTATCAAATGGTGGATACAATTTTGTCTAATGAAACACCATTTTAAATATAAGTCTTGCGATATTGTTTAATGTGTGAAATGATGAGTACCTTTACCTACTCTGAGATCAGTGTTGACTATTATCCCACAGCGTACTGAGAGATACTGTATGCCATTTTATATATTTCTACTGTTGTAAACGATAATAATAAATGTGGATTTTTATATTTTAAAACTAGGTACGAACGCGAGGAGGCAATAAAAAATATAGGGCCCTACGCTTGGACACAGGCAACTTTTCGTGGGGTTCGGAGGGTACTACGAGAAAAACCCGTATTATTGACGTGGTTTATAATGCTTCGAACAATGAGCTGGTGAGGACCAAAACCCTCGTAAAGAATGCGATCGTCACCATTGATGCGACGCCCTTCAGGCAGTGGTATGAAGGGCATTATGTATTACCACTTGGTCGCAAACGAGGCGCCAAATTGGTAAGATACTGAATATTTGATTCTTTGTGCAGTTATTGACAATCAGATGATGTAATTGGTAAAATAACAAATAATAATGTGTACAGACTGAGGCTGAGGAAGAGGTACTGAGCAAGAAACGCTCGAAGAAGGCAGAAGCAAAGTACAAGGCAAGGCAACGATTTGCTAAAGTTGAACCTGCTCTGGAAGAACAGTACGCTACCGGACGTGTTCTTGGTAAGATCTCAATGCATAATAAATGTTTAATATATTGTTCGTAACCCTAACGTAATTATTCATTCAGAATTTTTATCTTTCTCTATATATTGAGTCATTGTTTCGTACGCCATTTAAATATACAAAACACAAAATATTTAAATAGATGTTTTTACGAAATTGAAATGTAAATTTCAGCATGTATAGCCAGTAGACCTGGTCAATGTGGACGAGCTGATGGTTACATACTGGAGGGAAAAGAATTGGAATTTTATATGAGGAAAATTAAGAGTAAAAAAGCTAAGTAAACATATGTAACTACCGCAAGGAAATAAAATAATTTATAAGAAATCAGTACTGACTATAACTTTATAAATAATGGCAAATGGCTGTTATATATTCCTTATATACGTTTAAATGTTCCTCGGAAAAATAGATTTATTAATCTCATTCTACAAACGTAATACTTACTTATACAATTATCGTAGTTAAACAAATGAAGCACGTGTTTTTTCTATTTATCATCATTATACTTTATTTTTGATAAAGAACAAGTATTTATTTGCGTTTGTGCAAAATGCAAATATAAATGTCATTCAGCCCATTTTCCCTTACACACAATAATTCCTCAGATGAACTGTCACGCACGTCTAATATACAATTTAACTGAATTTTTTTCTCAGTCTCTTCTTTGATAAAAAAAAAGTTATTGCAGAACGTACATGTATTTTCAAAAATAAAAATACTCTGATACATATATTGATTTTTAATTAACATGACGAGGTAATTCATGTACCGTATCAGCAGGACTGCTTAATTTAATACATTGGTTCTGAAAAATACAAGCATGTGGTATTATTTAATTACAAATGCAAACGTCAACGAA